GAGCTTTACACTAAAACTGACATTCTCAAGCCCAATCTGATGATCAGCGCAACCCAGCAGAGATGGGATACAAGATTGAAATCTAAGTAAACTTATGGAAGAAATTTTGTATGTGTAAGCGCAAGAACTACTGAAAAAAATGACGAGTGTACATACTTGTGCAGACTTAACAGGTAACTCATGGCCAGAGAGTCTCTTAAAATGCTCCTTCAACAATCTCTTGGAGTCGTACTCTCTGATCTTCTTGCGCGCCATTTCTTCCTAGTCTGTTCAGCAAATACAATCAAATCAGTAATCCATTATATCGAATCCAAGCCACCGAAGTGAAGCAACAAGAGCGAAAATCCGGCAAAATACGCAATAATTTCAGAAAAATAGCATCTCACTCCATCTCTCATAAGAAACACTACACTAAATTTGCTTCAGATACCTCTAAATTCTAACTGAAATGTAGTATTCAAAGCGGAGAATACAGGGAAACGAAGTTAAACGTGCAAATGGAATAGAGTGAAGGTCTGGGAATGGCGTAATGAGTAAGGCATTTACCGTTTGAAAGAGAATTGAACTGAGGAGGAAGCAGAGGCAGGCGGGTAGTTAGATCTAACGAACACCTAAATGATGCGATTGCTCGATGGCCGTATTTATAACAATAAAACTTTGATTAAGAAAAAAGATACTATTCTGATCCTTAATATAAGACTCATTTAACTAATTTGATTAGATTAAGGAAGTTAGTTAAATTAGTTAATTATAAGAAAAGTGACATATTTTTCTTAAAACACCATAATTATTTTTCTTAATACCCCTCTCCCTCTTCTACTTGATTATGGTTGAGGGAGTATCCATAGGGTAATTTAGAGAAAATTGGTAAATGTGAGAAATTAGTCTTATATTTAGGACCAAAACCAACTCAAGAAATGGGTCATATATTAAGGACCGGAGGAGTAATAATGAAACTAAGGTTTTGAGAATTAAAAAAAAAATGATAGAGGATTATTTCTTATTATTTAATCTGGTAATTTTAATTTATAAATTTTGTAAAATTTTATTTGTAGAAATGACCGAGTGTTAAACTGTTTGTTACATAAAAACTAAATAAATTTCATAAAATTTATGAAAATCAATAAAGTTCTAATTCAAACAAAATAAAGTATAGGAACCTATAAATTAATTTATTTCTAAAATTAAATAATATGGCGGGAATTAAAAGTGGGAGTTGGGGGATCTGGAGGGAGTACCTAACTTGATGAACCGACGTTTCAACAACCGCGACATCCTGTTGGGAAACCGTGGAGCAGGTGACGGCGGTGTTAACGCCGTCAGCTCGATGACGTGGCGCTGTGGATCACCCCTATACTAACATTTTTTTTATTGAGTTTTTTGTAGGCTCGATGATTTGTTTTTTGCGTTTGAAAATTGATTTTCGAGAAAGTATGTTTTATTGATAAGCTTAATATCATCTTTAATTTTTAAAATTTAATTTAATTTTGGTTTTGATTTTTAAAATTTAAAGTCACTAGTTTTGATCATTCAAACTTTATTTTAGGGACCAAAAACTTTAGAAAGACTAAAATAAGGTTATGATCAAAATCACTTATTTTAAATTTCAGACAGTAAAATGAGGTGAAAGTTCAAGAATTACAAATAATATAAACTCTTATTTATACATGTTGAGTGTGGACACGTTCTTTTAACGAGTGTGGATTCTATTAGTAATATTGATTTTTAAATGATTCATTTTATTAATATACTGGTATCTTTGAGATTCCAATTTATTAGAATATGGGGCTCGTGCAAAATGAGGAGTGACATTTTCATGAAATTCATTTGAATGTAACTTCAGTTGACTTGTCTGGGTTTCATTTTGCCATGTAATCAAGTTTTGGTGGTCGTGGTGATGTGAGTATAGATTCATACCTTTTTATGTTTATTTAAAGTGAAATTTAAATTTTGGATAATTAATTCTTCAGTGGGGAAACTTATAATTGTGACTCAGCCAATAAAAATATTACTTTGAACTTTAACATAAGAGTTAGTTAACTAATTTAAGTATATTATAAAAATTAGTTAGGCTAGTTACTTATAATAAGTAGGTGTTGTTTTTTCGTAAAACACTTTTATTAATTAAGTATATTAGCTAAAATTATCATTTGCTAAAACATTTAACATGTGCAACTAGTATAAAAAATACTTTGAAAAAATAGATAAACATGAAAGATAGAGTGATTTGAGATCTTATATTTAGAACAAAAAAGTTAGTAAAATTTTATTTTTAGATATTAATATGTAGGTTCAGTTTTTTTTTTTTTGAAATTTTCCTTGCAAGTTCTCTCTTCACTTTGAATTCAAACAGACGTTATTTTAACTGAGCTTGCCATTTTGGTTTTGCACCTTAAAAAAAGACATGAGCATAACTACTACCTCCGGTTTTTAATATAAGATGTCGTTTAACTTTTATTTTAGTTATAAATATAAGATCTCAATCCACTTTATTTCTAATTTATGTATTTTTTTTAAGGCAGTCCTTCTCATAATGGTAATTCTACCCAATACATTTGATTAGCAAGGATATTTTAGAAAAGATAACACCTATTTATTACAAATAATTAACATAACTTATTTCCTCAATTCTCAAATTAGTCAACTAACTCTTATAATTAGGACTAGAGTAGTATTAACTAATTTGAGAAGGAAAAAAAATCATTTTACAGGTATTTATAGTTTTTTTTAATTTTTAAATTAAAATCTTATATTACCTCTAATTAGTAATATAAGAGCTAATTAATTAATTTGAGTATATTAAATAAATTAGTTAAATTAATTATTTGTAATAAATAAGTGTTATTTTTCTTAAAATACACTTAGCCAGTCAAATGTCATTTGATGAAATATTTAACATGTGTAACTATTACAAAAACTATTTTAAAAAATAGATAAATATAAGAGACAAAATAAATTGGTGTCTCATATTTAGGATCAAATTGAAAATTAAACTAACTCTTATATTATTTAAAATTAACTTGGATATCTGGAGCAAAAGGTAGTACTCCTCCAGTCCTTAATATAGGACCCAATTGTTGAATTGGTTTTGGTCCTAAATATAAGACCCATTTATCATATTTATCAGTTTTCTCTAAATTACCCATATGAATACTCCATCAACCATAATCAAGCAGAAGAGGGAGAAGAAGTATTAAGAAAGATGATTATGGTGTTTTAGGAAAAACGTGTTACATTTTTTATAATTAACTAATTTATCTAACTTTCTTAATCTAATCAAATTAGTTAAATAGATCTTATATTAAAGATCGGAGGATTATTTTATTTGTGATTTCAAGCCTAGACAACCACAATTTTTGCGAGCCAAAACTGAGATACCCATACGTGTAATAATTTGCTTATTTATTAAGCATAAGCAAGTTAGCAACCGCAAGTAGTTAGCTATACTTTTATTTGAATGTGTACTTTTTCTTTTTTTCCCTTTTATTTTAATGTGTTTGTATTTGAGCATTAGTCACGCGTGAAGCGTGTAACCATATTTAAAGGGAATGCCATTCACGAGCGCCTGTTTCTTACTTGTTTAAAGGGTGCAGCTACATTGGTTCGTTTTTTCTATTTTACTTTCCATCCTTGAAATTTTAAATCGTAAGTTTTGATTTTTTAAAAAGTAAAATAATTTAAATTTTATTAAATTATAATAACTAATATTTTAAATGAAAACAAACTTTTTATATGTATACTATGTTTTCACCCACTAATTTATTTGTTTTTTTCTTTCATGACATGTCTAAGGAATGAATGTAATTACAAAAAAAATTCCATAACAAACAAACAGCATGAAATGACAAACAAACAGCATGAAATGATTCCATGTATGAAAGACCACATGGTCATGATGCTCCCTTGTTTATAGACAATGACAAATTCCAGTATAAAAAATAATAATATGTTCAGATCGCTCACTTGTTTGACTTTTTTTTGTAATATCGAGCCTTGGGATAATTTTCCCTTGTTTTATTTTAACATCTTTTCCTCATTCTATATGTCTTTTACTTATTTCTATTTCTTTCCCATATACTCTTTAGGTAATTTTGCTTCATATCTCTCTGTTTTGTTTTTAGATGTGTCGCCTTACTTTTAGTTTAATCGTTTATATTTATATTTAATTCACTAGTTGATCAACAAGGTGACGTATTGAAGGTTCTCTCTACCCCTGTAATTAATGCATTTAATAACATCAACAAAATTATGAATTATATATCGGGCTAAGGTACAATTTTCACCTTGATCTTATTTTTCAGGTGCAATTTTGTCCATAATTTTTTAGTGGTAATTTTACTCATGATCTTATTTCTCAGGTGCAATTTTGTTCTTAATCTTTTTTTTTTGGGTACAATTTTACCTTTGATCTTTGGGTGCAATTTTGATCCTAAGTGGCAAAATTGCACAAACAGTTAGATTATTAATTTATGAATATTAAAAAAATTAGTTTGGTCAATTACTTGTAACAAATACGTCTTATTTTCCTAAACTATTTTCTTTTAATCATGTACACCTGAATTACCCTGACCGAGAACCTCTTGACTATGTGCACTTAATATGACAATTGAGGCAAAAAGTTATAAATTTGAGTGGTAAAATGAATTAAAATCTTATATTTTAAACTAAATAAACCCTTTTATCTCATTCATATATTTGGAATAGTAATAACCTTCCGACCAAAAAAAAAAGAATAGTAATAACCTAGTGATAAAGGGAAAGCAAAAATTGCTCTTCGCAAAGGTAATTTACACTCAATCATACCCTTTAAATGTGAATTACAAATATAAAATAATCACTTTTTTTATGTTTAAATTTTAATATGGAATTGCCATCCACTCCTTGACTTTTATTTTCACTTGATAATTTAGCGAGAACCCGAATGAAATTTGCTAGACTTCATTGACACAGGACTGTCTGCGACGCACTAGAAATTTGTAGCTCCAATTCACTCCAGTCCATTTTAAATAATCAAACAGCATAGAATTCATCCTTTGTTAAGAGTTATCAACATAAAATTTAACATATATAGGAAACTACATTGTCAATAAGATTTATGAATAATGCTACTCAAATTTAGTCAATCTTTATCCTCTCTAACGTTGCCCACAGAGATAAAATGGCATGATCCTTACAGCACACCTCTTGTGTTTCTGTGAGAGAGAGAGAGAGAGACAGAGAGAGAGAGAGAGAAAAGGGTTTTAATTACATAAACACCTTGTATAACCATAATTGTTGTTCAGAATCCTTCTGCTAGAATGGACAATGGAGTAATCTAATATGTTAAGGTCATCTCACAATCTGAGAGGAGCCTGGAAATGATCTTGACAACCACAAGTTCTTCAGCTTCACTACCAAAGCAAATGCGCAGTAGCATGGAATATGCAGCACACCCACTGCTAGGTACCTAAAACAGCAACAAGTGAAGATAATCAGAACCATATTCTAGCTTGCAAGTACCAATCTTTTGTTTTTAAGTTTGTCATAGTTCAAGACCTTTACTAAGAATGATGTTTTAGATTCCACTTGCTATTATAATCTTGAATAAAAATATTCAAATATCACAAGCCAATCTGTCATCATTCCAAAAAAACAAATGCTCATATCTGTGAGGATGAGCATGCGTTGACAAGTGGGAAAACTGATTTCGAGGACTAGGAGACTAGTCTATGAGAGAAAAATAGATCAGGGCCAATCATGAACAAATATATTGCCATGTCAAGCACATTTCTTAGACGATCCCACCACCCACTCAAATGCTTATCTTGCTGAATGGGTCTACGTGAGAATTTCTCCATTTTTAGGGAATTTTGTTGTCTGTACATTCTCTTCAGTTTCTTGGCATAAGATCTCTCTCTCTCTCTCTCTCTCACTCACACACACACACACACACACACACACAATGGAGGAGAAAATCATTTGAATGATGATGGTGAGAAACAGAATTAACACATACCATAAGGGAGCATATGGGGATGACAGCTCAAGGAAAGGATAAGGCCAACTGCAAAAAGGTTTACCAAAATTATGATCACAATTATGTTGGCTGGAAAGCTATGTTCAAGTGAAGGCACACAGAATTTTACCTCGTTGATACAAACATATGGAAGACCCATTGGAAAATTACAAATGTACATGTCCACAAGACAAAATATCCAAACCGAAACATTGGAAACCTCTGCATATGTTACCAGGGGACAATGGTAAATTAGAACTTGATCACAGAAAAAGAAATATAAACCACAAGAAGCTAAACTCACCAAGCAATTCAGTGCCATGTCACCAAGAAGGAAAACAGCATTAACCGAGTGCATGCAAACAATCAACTGCAATTCAATAGTACAAACTTTTACAGATGGAATAAAAATCTTAGGGTAGCATGCAGGACTATCTTACTCTTTAAGAATGAATATTAGCATCATATACAATCACATTTCCATATCTTCTCCAAAATTTTCTCAACCATGATTAAAATATTACATGTGGCAATTACTGTTTAACAGATGGCTCAAATAGCAAAAGATATGCTTTGATGTTGATTTTGCAAAATTGGTGAACAATAGCAACTATGATATTTATGCACATGACATAAATTATCGTGATTTTCCCACAAATGCAACACTTGCAAGAATGGACACAAACTCGACAATCCCCAACCCCCACGATTTAAAAAGAAACAAAATCCTGAGAAGAACATATGCCAGGAACTGTACTGATCATACTTACGAAGTTCAGTGCGATTGCTTTATCATTTAGAAGTGGATAGAGGACAAGCCAGAACACACAATCAGTGAGAGCTACAGCACCTGCACACATCTATACATTGCAAACCAAAAATAATAAGAAAATAAATATTTAATAGATGGCCTGCTGATAGTGACTTAAGATGCCTAACTGTTTGACATTCAAAAACAAAAAAAGAGGAGGAGAAGAAGTTAGTCATGCAATGAAAACCAAAATAAATAACAAATATATCAGTAAACTTTTGAGTTTAAAACATAGTTAGGAAGCGTGCAAGATGCATAAGAAGACATCTTTGGAGCACATGACATTGACAGAAACTGCAGCACATCATTTTGCAAATTTCTGTTGGTTGTCGATACATTCATTGCCTAGCCTTAATTCAAAATTCGAAACACATGATAGTTTTTTTGGAGGTAAACAATTCAATATACGTATTTTTCTCTGAAAAACACTCATTGTTTCAGTAAAAGAAAAAGCAAGAGCTGCATAATGAAGTCATTTTCTAGTAAAACATTTCTTACACAGACATGGGTTAGAGACCCCAAATGCCTTAAAGATTAGTTTTTTATATTCATTCCAGATTTGAGAGAATGAACAGATATCTGCCGACATTGTTGCCTTTTTTTTTCTTTTTTTTTTGGGGGAATATGCTAGTATTGTTGTGGTTAATTGCATACACAGAATGGCGTCTCTCAGGCACCTTGGAAAAGTCATCCAGAAATAGAAGTTATGTTTTTTGGTGACTCAGGTTGCAAGAAGTATGAAACCTAACGCATGTTCCAAGAGGCTGCCTCCAGATATAAAACATGATACACAAAGTGTCAACAAATATGGTAATTTCAGAACCAAGTAAATTCCGTTTGATCAATCCCTTCCTTCCTTCCCAATTGGACCCCTATGTGTGTGTGTGTGTTTCATAAGGGTAGTTGTTAGCTATTGCATTTGATAGTCGGTTCTAACTACCGTAGCGGACTTCTAATTCCCTCTTATATATTGAATGTATCAAAATAAACATTTCTATGCAAAATATCCAAAGCAATAAAATCATGAAAATAGTTACCTGATAAATTATTTGAAAGGCATAAACCCATACACCAGCAGCTTCCCGTGCATGAGGCACCTGAAGAGCATTTGGATTTTTCAGCAGGTTGGACATATCTACACCAACTCCAAGTGTTGAAGCTGTATTGCCGTTGGGCATAATAGGCCCAGACTTATCGCTGACACAACATCCATATATGGATAAAGATGATCCAAGCTGCATGAGAAATTGAGATCATGAGTCCCTTGGAGGGGTATGAACGAGATACATAAATTATGAAATTTGACCGGTACTATTGTTTTCTATCAGGAGGATCTGAACCTGTAGGCTGTCCTACACATCTTAAAATCTAAGTTCTTCTATCTCCGAAAAAAAAAGAAAGAAAAGGCTTTAAAAAAAAAAAAGATCTCTTGCAGTTTGTTATCTGAATTTCTAAAACTACTAAATATCTGAAAGAGTCGAAGGTGTTAGATGTTACCCCAAAGTAAATAACGACCAAAGAAAAGGTCCACCTGTTCAGCACATGAAACAAAATTACAGTCAGCATATTATAATAAGGATTCAGGAGAGATGGTTATAAAAGCAGCGTTTTGAACTTTTATTGGAAAACGAATCATAGAACCTTTTATTCTCTTTTTCCTTACTCTTGCTTGATCCATTCCTTATTCATTTCTAACTGAAGGTCTCCATTATTTACATAACAATTATGTCTTCGGGTAATACAAAAAGAAACCATACAAACCGGATTTTGAAAGGACAGAAATTCATCTTTAGTTGTTTTATCCAGATTATCAATGAATTGTCTTATACAATACTGCAGTGGATGAACGTGAGACTCACTGAGTATAGAAGTAAAATATGTGGCCTCCATGGAAAACCACATCAGCAATGAGCAACCCCAAAAGCGCAAGGAAAGCAATTAGTCTGTAAGCCAGCAGCCAAGCAGGATGAAGTCCTTTGAGACACGTCTTCCATGCTTCATCGTTATACAATGAACCATCCGTTTCCTGCTGATTCTCTCTCCCCTGACGTCTTGATCTCTTGACTCCTTCGTACTTCCATATTAAAAACAACCCTAGTACCAAAGAGGCTAAAATGCATATTGCGCAGAGCAAAAACCTCCAGTTCAACCAGTAACTCGGATCAGCAGTATCTGGAATCATAGTGGGCTATCAAGTATGGCTTTAAGACCTCGATATTACACTTGCGTTCTGATCAGGTAAACCAAAGGTGTACAATTTAGTGGACGCTATTCAGAGGGGAAAATGGGGTAGACAGAAAAAGAAAGATATGCTGAGAAAAGAAAACGGACATGCCAAATAATTTTGGTGTTTGGGTACATGAAATTGATAAAGGAGAAAAGAGTTATCAGGTATTTGGCCAAAAAGATAAAACAGAGAAAAGGTACAGCTAGTAGTCCTAAAACAAGATTTGAGAGATATGAAATTTAGTGAAGACGAACTCAAATTGTCAATTCAGTCCGTCACAACAATCATTACAGGAGAAATGAAGGTCAAAATATCATAATTTAAGCAGGAATACTGTCGAGAACAAAATCAATTCTTGGCAGGATTGTGAAACAGATGCTGGAAAGGGAATGCACTTTCCCAGATTGTCTCATCCACATCACAAAAGGAAATAAAAGAACAATCCGTAACCATCAGAGAATCAGAGAAAACAAAAAAACCAGGTTTCTTAGTAATTTACTTGCCGATGGTAAATTTGCAGGCCAAAACAAGATGATTTGCTTCTTCCTTTCACTGGGTACCTGGATGAACGTTGAAGCGTGGGAGGTCAAAGACCAGGACGATTTAGCTTCGCCTTCGGATTTGTGCACCTCCGGGTTGAGGAAAGATTCTATATTTTTTTCGGTAGTCAGGGAAAATTCATCAGTTTATTGGAAAAGTGAAAACAGAAGAGCGGGGTGGAAGATGCTCATGGGTTCAGGTAAACCGTGTTACCATTATTTATCAATATCATCCCAAGCTATGACTAATCACAAACCCAGAACGCGCCACGTATTTATGGGAAAACGATCAGTTACATTTTTTAATTTCAGTTTAGCGTCTTTATGGCCTGTGGGGCTCCGCGTACGGGGGCGCCCCTGCGCGTACGTGGGTTCCATCTCACAGCCTCATGGTAGTTTTTTTTGCCCTTTGCTTTCTTATTATTTCACTTAATTTTTAATCAGGCTTTATCTCCTATTTTTATCCATTTGAATATATATTAAGAAGCTTCTATTAAAAAAATAAATTTATTATACATGATTAACAAAAATATTTTATAAAAAATAACACATATTTATTACAAATAGTTAATTTAACTAATTTTTATATCCATAAAGTAGTTATGTATCTTTTATATTGAGAAGTGGATACTAATGTAGTTTGTTGGTCGAAACGGTAGCAGGCTTATCTATAAAAAGAATACAAGTTTGAATTCAAATTTTAGAAAGCACACCTGTCGGGAGAGGAGAAAACCTTTAATGCTCTCAAAGACTGAAAAAAAAAAAGTCTCAAATTCAAAAAAAAAAAAAGTTGGATACTAATATTATGTTTTAAAGACTGACAATTATTGCAAAAGAGCATGCCTAATATCAAAACACATTCTCTGCTCCTATCAGAGACAGAGAGAGCATGAAGTGTGATTTGGCCAATAAGGTTATAAACCACATGGGTTGATCCTTCTATTCAGTGCTCTTGACTGATATCTTTTCTTTATCCTTCTCAACACCATTTGGAAGAAAAGGAATCTGGCTCTTCATGAGGACATTTTACCTTATTTTCAGGAAATTATTCATGAAATTTAGAGTTTCTAATATTTCTCAAACTAGTACATAAATTGGTGGTTTCTTTTATATAAGATAAAAAGTTGAATTACTACAAAATAATTAGTTGAATATTACATTATTATTTCAAGTCATGATTTCAACTTAATTTAAAATAAAATATCATTAAGCTTTTGAAATATGCAGTACAGGTAGATCTATTATCAACATTTTTAGAAATATGCTATATATGTAGGTATATAAATGGATGTTCCTTTAAAAAGATTGAATTAATGGAGACAAAAGGATTAATGGATTGAAACTCAAATATTTGATTATATTCAATAATTACATAGATAATGTCATGGTCAATACTATTATATTAGACAAATATGATATATGATTCTATATTGTAAAAGTAGGCTATTTAATACAAGAAAAATTAATGCAGACAAAATGGTTAGTGCGTTAAAATATTTTGAAAACCACACAAAAATGTACTCCCATAAGTTGAAAGTAGTTGCCGTGGTCAATAACTTCAGGAATTGACAATATAAACTTAAAATAATATAAAACTACCAAAACAATATCAAAATATCCATATTCAATGTAAAAATGGAGCATCGTGGCCACCGCTATAAAGAATAATAAAATAAGATTTCCAACGTAATTTTATGGGAGTGATAGCCTCGTCATCTTAGTTATCCATGTGAAAAAAGAAAAGGAGGAGTGTGCACGGCAACATTCATGGCTATTTAGATAACTGTGATAATTGAGTAACTATCATAGCCCGCATAACCCTCCCCCACCACACACAAACATCAGACACACACTGGTTGTTTCCGCTCGAAATCCACATGCCTCGTGGAGTTAAGATTGAATTAGGTATTTAATATAAAACATAAAATGTGTTGATTATCATAATGATAACTAGGAAATTCACTATTTGAGATCATTAATAATAGAAAAATGTCAAATAAAACATAAAATAGGTTCACTATTCAATATATTAGGAAATTGAGTAGTTCGTATTGTTAAAATCACATACTAGCATTAAAGAAAATATCTCCACTAATATATTTAAGTTTGTATTTCATTTTTTTTATTAAGCTAATCCATAAAAGACATCGATTGTTTTCCTTAAAAATTAATATTTTATTTTATTTTAAAATAAATTTTAATTCAAAATAGCAGAAATAAAATAATTTTTCAGTTGAATTAGATTTCAAAATAATTAATAAATAATAAATAATAAATATTTCAGGTATAAATAATAGTTTAGATTTAGAGCGTAGCATATTATTTTCAATATACTAATAGAACAACTGAAATTAAATTTCAAGCATAATTAATTTTAAATAATACCATCAAATTTCAAATTTTGAACATACATCATGCCTCGCATATATGTCATGATTTTCGGGATAAGAGAAGTTATATAATTTTATTTATTTTTCTTAATTTAAAATATTTGCATATGAAGGGTATTTTGGTTTTTACAAAAAATAGAAAAAATAAGGCTTATTATTGGAGATAATTGCAATAAATTCTGTAATAAATCGGAATTAATTGAATTGATAAAAAAATTATAAAAAAAGTAGATTTATCTACCATTAACAAAAATCATTATTTTGCAAAAATAAATAGAAAGATATGAAACATGCACTCAAATAACTATGATTGAATTAATTCCCAAGAAAAACGCATAAATAGAGAGATCATGGGTAGAAATGTGGTTTTAACAAAAATAAAAAATAAAAAATTTATCTGCAAACAATTTAACTAAAATATAAATAAACAATAAATCCCAAGAATTCAACTAAAACCATTTAAATAAAAAATACTGCATCATGAGAGATAACTAACTGATTTTACTACAAAAAGAGATAGGTAGTGAGAATAAGGAAGAACATGCATTATAGTGGTGAATAACGCATAAATAGGGAGTTTGACATAAAATTTTGACTTTAGAAAAAAAGAAAAAAAAACCATTTATCTACATTCTGGTGAAGTCAAGTGACAGTCTATTAATAAGTCATGTTTTAGTATATAGATATAATTTTTCCAATTCAACAGCCTCGACAGATGTCGTCATTACATTCATGGCTTGATCGCAAGGGTCGGACTATTTTCCTTCATAAATTAAAAAAAAAAATCAAGGAGTTATTACTATCATGGAGCCTTCTGCTATCAAGATTCACTCTTGAAGGAATTTTTGTTGAGATGTAATTATAGAACTGGTCGAATCTTTTTTTAAATTATCAAGCACCAATGTGCTCTTATTGAAGGCTTAATCATCAGACACTAGATACATCAAGTGTAAGACCACAGTGCTTAGGCAAGGACAATGTCACACGACTTTCTCAATGAGAGCGATAAGCTTTCATAGATCACATCAAACATTGATTTGAAATGGGTTCTCTTCGTAGTGGAAGATGAGTCCTTTAAGAATGGTTAGGAGTTTGGTCTAAAATATCCGGTAAAATCTTTTGTCCCATTGTCATCAGTACTTTACATCAGACATTTACATTACAATCTACTGCCCCATTTAAATCAGTTGAGTGGTCTCTGTCAGCGTTTTTTTTACCCCGGATAAGTACGGATATTTTCTTATTAAAGGCAGTTATGTTTTGAAGTATTATCAATTACTTCTCTGATTTTTAATATATAACATTTTTAACTAGTTTGATTATATTAAGAAAGTTAGGTAAGTTGATTAATTATAAAAAATATGATATATTTTTCTTAAAACACCATAATTATCTTTATTAATGTCCCCTCTTTTTTTTTTTACTTGATTATGGTTGAGGGAGTATCTATAGGATAATTTAGAAAAAAATTGATAAATATGAGAAATAGTTTTTATATTTAGGACTAAAATCAATTCAATAATTACGTCCTATATTAAGGACCGAAAGAGTATTAAGTATAGACATATTTTGCAATAAGAATTTGGATATTGATTTAGGAAGTGTTTGAAAACCCTTAAAAACACTTAAAAAATATAAAAACAAAACTCGTCTTCTATACTTGCTTCAGACACTGTAAAATGACTTCTAACCGCCAGCTAAGCTTTAGATCATTCTCTCTGAATTCGTGTTCATAGTTTCATGCCTATTAGTATGACTTCATTTGATTAAAATTTTAAATATGAAGTGCGCGTCTGCACGTGCACCTAATCTTGTCTTCGTCCCAAAGGTATCTTGAATATTCTGACATCGGAAGGATACGCCCCACCCTCCCCTGTCTCCTTTTCTGATTTATTATAGGGAAAATTTTAGTGAAGGACCGCAGAAAGCAATTTATATCAGTTAAGGATTAAAACTTTCTGAAATTTCAATACAAGATTAAGGGACCAAATTGAAATTAAAATTTAGAGTGAGATTACAATAATATCCCTCCCTTTTTATTTTATTAAAAAATAAATATTTATCGGAGTTACTGTTCCGGCCACCGGAGCTCAGGTGGCCGCTGCCGGGGTCCGACCACCAGTGGCCGGAACAGTAACTCCGGCCGGACTTCCAGTTGCAGGAGTTTTTTGTTTTGTTTAAAACAAAGTGTTCAAGGAAGGGTTTGAACCCATCATCCCTTGGCACACCAAAAGACTTATAACCACCAAGCCACCTGAGTGCCGGTGGCCGGAACAGTAATTCCGATAAATATCTATTTTTTAATAAAATAAAAAGAGAGGGGTATTATTGTAATCTCACTCTAAATTTTTTTTTTGGATTACTCTATCCGGTATCCCAGGGAAATAGGCGTCTTTCAGCCGTGACAACGTCCCCAGACTAATCCGGATTCGGGGGCTTGCAAGGATCCATACGGACGGCGCCCCCTGGCCCCTTGGAGTGTTGCGTTCCCACGTCTCGAACCCGAGATCCGTGGTTAAGCTAGGACGACCCCAGCCAGTCGACCTAACCCCGCGGGGTTTGTAATCTCACTCTAAATTTTAATTTCAATTTGGTCTCTTGGTCCTGCAGTGAAATTTCAGAAAGTTTTGATCCTTGACTATTATAAATTGCCTTCTGCGGTTCACTGAAATTTTCCTTTTGTTATAATTATCTGCAACCAAACCCAACATCAACCACAAGTTTTATATTACAATTCAATTCACGTACGTATTTGACGCCACTCCCTACTGCTGTCAGGTCGTTTTCCAGGACTGGACCCAAACTGGAGAGGAGCTTCTCCAGTGTTTTAAGTTGTTGCATTATTTTAATTATTACACATTTCTTAATTAATTAGATTTGTCTCTTATTATTTATATCTCCTATCTTAACTAAAATATTACTCCCTCCATCTCTTTTTATAAACAACATTGAATTTTATCACGTAGATTAAAAAATTAGTTAAAGATAATAAATAGGTAAAAATTAGAAGAGTATAAGAAAGAAAAATTAAAAAATTATTATAATAAAAAGAATTATAAAAGAGAGATAATGTGTGATAGAGAGAGATGATGGTTTGGAAAATAAAATCATAAATATATTGAATATTAAAATAAATAATTAATAGGGGTAAAATAAGGAATGTACTATAAAAATTTAAGACAACTTACAAATATTGCTTATATTTAGGAACAAGAGGAAAATGGTAGTTGTTGCTTATAAAAAGGAAAAGGTAATCATATTTGAGGTACTATCGGGTGTTAAATATGAGTATCTCTGCTATTGAAGATTCATATATTGATTTGACATATTGTAAGGCACTAATTTCTTTCATTAGACCCAACAACGTAGGAAATATTATTACAAGTATGATCACAGGTTATACTGATTAATGTGGTTTTATGTTTAGGCCAAGGCCTCACTTAAATTCTGTTTACCTAAAAACCATGGAAGAAAAATTGGGCCGGACCGACCGGTTCAACTAGTGAACCGGCTTGATATCTAGTCTGGGTTAAAGCGAAAACTGGCCAGTCTTTGAACCGGTGTTAAACCGGTTGAGCGGACAAAAATTGGTATTAAACCGGGTAACCCGCTGATCTAGGTGGGTTACCCGGTTTACTAATTATCCCCCGGTTCTACTAAAAAAGAAAAAACGATGGCCTCTTTTATATATATAAAAAAATTTTAAACCCCAGTATGAAATTCAAACTCGCTCTCACCTTTTGCCTCGCTGGAGAAGCCATGGACGCTGCTAAATGAAGAGGTAGAAGCATAGGAAGTCATAGAAAAGAAAACCTAGAACTTTGTTTGGATTTGTACGTCACTTGGAAGCACTGTTATGCTCATGGAATACTGGAACGCAAGGAGCAAGATGACAGAGTAGGATGGATGATATTCAAAGAGGACATAAATGGCGGACTGCGTCGTTTCTATCTGAGAAAGAAAGAGAAATGAGAGGGATGAAACCATTTAATGGAGAAAGAGAAATAACATATATGTTTTAAGAAAGAAAAGTGAGTCACTCCATTGTTCAAGGAAGAAAGAGGAGGAAAAAACTGACAATGCGTGTTGCAAAACGAGTAATAACCGTGGGAGAGAGAAGAATGAGATTAAAAAAAAAAGAAAGAAAGAAGAGGATTTCATGATTTCATCAGTCACGTGAGGAAGAAGGGAATAGGAAAAGGCAAAAAAAAAGAAATAAAAAAACATTTCATATATGTAAATATTTTGTAACATAAGTACTCTTCAAAAATCAAATATTATTTTTTATAACTAAAATATGAATATTTTTACTTATTTGAATTAATATCGGTTTGACCAAAATCTGACCCATTAATCCTTGAATCAGTATTTGAACCGGTTTACTGACCTATCTGGTTTTTTATACCTTGTGAAAAACTCAGCACAAGGGGAATACTGTTTAAAAAACACTGTTTGATTAGCCCATTGGGCTGCAATGAAAAATTTTCAGCTCAATATTGATTGGGACTCAAAGAGCGAGTCTAATTTGATGAGCCCAGTGGATCCAATCCAGGACGCAATGGCCTAAATCTGCAAACCCTAAGCCCACTCGGCGCCATCTCCATATATAATGTCCATTGAGCCAAGTTTCCCCACCATGGTCATCAATCGGCGCCGGTGAGTTGGGGAGAGCAGCCATGCAAATCTTCGTGAAAACCCTAACGGGGAAGACGATAACCCTCGAGGTTGAGTCTTCCGACACCATAGACAATGTCAAGGCCAAGATTCAGGACAAGGAGGGCATCCCGCCGGACCAGCAGCGTCTCATCTTCGCCGGAAAGCAGCTCGAGGACGGCCGCACCCTAGCGGACTACAATATCCAGAAGGAGTCTACCCTCCACTTGGTGCTCCGGCTCCGTGGTGGTGCCAAGAAGAGAAAGAAGAAGACCTACACCAAGCCCAAGAAGATCAAGCACAAGAAGAAGAAGGTCAAGCTCGCCGTCCTCCAGTTCTACAAGGTTGAAGATACCGGTAAGGTCCAGAGGCTGAGGAAGGAGTGCCCCAATGAGGAGTGTGGTGCTGGGACTTTCATGGCCAATCACTTCGATCGACACTATTGCGGCAAGTGTGGGACGACTTATGTCTACAGTAAGGCTGGTGGTGATTAGAAGTGGTGCTTTTCCAGTCATGAAGTCACTACTTTCATAATAGTTTTATTTTATTTTATAAGTTTAGTGCTTTTTGATTATTTCAAGAGTTAAGAATAGCGGAGTATTGGTCTTTTTGGATGTGGATTTCAATACCCCTAAGCCCGGTTATTTGATGCTTAATTTTCTCTTTTACCAATGAGTTCATTACGCATGTTCTCTTGATATCCCTAGTTGCTCTCTTGTTAGGATTTCATTACTGCTTTATAGTTGCATTCTTATTGGCTGTGTGGTTGCTCCAAAGAATTGTCTTTTGTCATATACGCGGGTGGTTTTCCTCTGATAGATACTCTGCTTTTCCTTGCTGAGTTGCCTTGTTTAAAAGTCGATATTTGTCGCGCGGTCAGAGCATAAGCACTATTCCTTGTGACTCAACTCCTGAGATCATGCATGTCGCATACTCTGATAGCAATAATTTGGTGGGTATGAAACTTATCAAGATGAACTCTTGAGTAGTGTGTTTTTAGATCATTCTAACAAGGAAATCGCAGTAGTACTATTTCATCCGCCAATCGACGTTTACAGATTCTGATAGTAGTCTTTGGCTGATAAATAAGGCTTTTTAGTCGACAGTTATTTTCTGGTTGTGAAAAGCAAAGCCATGGAGAGGAAAGGATGCACTTTGGGATTTGGTGGGAAAAGATAAAATAGAAATTTATTATAGCTATTACACGTTGTCACCTTATCAAGAAAGGCAGGGTATTTATGCCTCTTTCTAGTTGAATGTGCAAATGTAGGGGGGTAAATATTATGAGTCTGCATTTTACCTATTCTGCATCTTGGGAACACTTGCTCTTATTCATTCGGATTCATAGTTATGCTGTATTACTGTCGCTCTATGCTTTTATATTCTCTCGGTATTAATTGATTCATGTCAAGGGGTAAGACATTTGATGATGGTACCGTGAGAGGTCATTTTGGCATATGATTCCTAATAAAGGTTTTGACAGTGTTAGATAAGCTTGTACATTCAAGATGCTAAGCATAGATGTGAGTCATGTGACCTTATCGACTCTCACCCCAATGCTCAGGGTAAGTGATGTTTGCGATGCTTTCTTCAACATGGGATGCTTTCCATCTAGTATTCTAGGGATCTTGATGAGGCCAATAAACTTCTGTAGGTCGCATGAAGGCTGTGTAGATTATTATTGCCAGTAAGATTAATTGTTGGAGCTCAAGATGTAACTTGTGGGTTTGCTTGTACTTGCTCCCTGAATGCTGTCTTACTATCCCAGTATGTGCGGTAGATCCTTAGTGTGCTGTGGGCTAAGGCTGGAATTGCATAAGCTTTTATTCTCAGGAACATTCCTTCAAGTGTAATATGGTACTCGGGACTTTGCATTCATCAACAAATATTATTTAAAGTCGATAAAAAGCAATGTTTTAACTTCAAATACTACAAAGTTCGGTGCCATTGTTGACTTATTTGTGTTAGAGGTGTTTAACTTATCCGTTCCGATCCCAGTCAACTTGGGTTTTGGGGGATTTTATTTTAAAAAATTTATTTTTTAAATTAATTATTATTATTATTATTAGATTATTTAATTCATTTATTAGTAATACTATATTTGGAATAAATACTATTTTAGCGTTTAAGTTGCTGGTGGGTCTCTTTCTCATTAAAGGAAAGTACAGAATCTTCGGTTACTAACTGTTTAAATGTTCGGTAATCTGAAATTTTCTTGAATGATATTCGGGGGTTTTCTAATTATTTTAATACAACTTTTGTATTAATAAAATAATTCATAAAGTTGTTATATAGTGTTTTTTGAGGGTATTTTTTCACTTTTTTTTTAGTACATAACTGAATTTTTTATGGGTGTTTTAATCCAAATATGATAAATAGTAAAAAAAAATTTACTCAGATATGGCAAGATAAAAAAGTATTTACTGGGATGTTATGCTTGAAAATTACCCACATCACAAAATAATAGAATTCGTTCAGATTAAAAACAAGTGCAGTGGGACCTTTGTTACAAAATAATAGAACTCATTCAAATCAAGAATCTGTTTAGTTTAGTGGGACCTATATTACAAAATGATATTTGTTCTTGATTTGAACAAGTACAGTAAAACTCACAATCCATTTGTTTTTTTTATCCCAATGCATTCCACGTGATTCTTTGTTTTTTATTTGACTAGACCCCAATGTTTTTTTTTTCAGCCACACATGTAAAGTTGCTTCTGGTTGAATTCTTTCTCCAAATATTCCCATCAGTATAGGGCTCAGGGAGTAGTCATTTGAATGTCTTCAACTCACATGTAGTAAGTGTTTTTTTTTTTTTATATGTGAGTGCATAGTATAAATTCTATTATTGTCTATATAATGCATGCAATGGCATTCCCACTCAAATATGCCTTCTCGTTACTTCTCAAATTTGTCTTAAAGTTCTTCAGCTCCTTCCACACTTTCATGTGAAGTTGGTGGTGTGTGCGATCTTGCAAATATTATATATGTTTTATCTCAACTTGAAGCTTGATTTTTCTTCTGATGAAGGTACCTTCTCTTGATTAAATTTTTTTAAAATTTTTGTATGTATTTTGCTAAATGATGGATACAAATTTTATATTTAGTCATTTTTACATGTTGAGTTTGTTTTAATTAAAAAATGTAGACATATAATTAATTTTCATATAAAATAAATTGTAGTTTACTTTTTTATAATCTAATTAAATATATATCTTTTTTTTAGCAGATAGTGTTTGAATAAATATGTAGTCAGATTAAATATATATCAAGTTAGATAATGTTTGGTTGTGAGCTTAGTCTGGTCTTTTATTTGGCCAATGAAAACTAGCACTAAATGGTGCCAAGATTTTCCTCATAAAAAGAATACTAATAGTGGGATTAATAATAATAAAAGAAAGGAGTTTTTTTTGGGGAAAATTAGAGAGGAGGACCTAGGAAAAGTAATATTTATTAAAGAGAATCTTAAAAATTATAATTATTTAGGGAGACCACATAATGAAATATAAATTTAAAAAAATACTCAACAACAATGGCTAATTGTTTTGTCATATTAAGTAATTATAGTTTTTAAATAACTAGTGTGAAATAGTTATTAACATTTATTTTTGTTTTCAATCATAAGAATGTTTTTTTGGGTCACTTAAACAATACCTAATATAAAATCACACAAGTGTATTCATTATAAACTTATGATTATTTAATGTAAATTTACCTTTATGTGCTAGCCAAAGTATATATCTCATCAGCAGTCTTTATTTACAGTGTAGAAATTAGAGGCTGAAAAGAATATAATTATTCTTTAATAATATAGATAAATTAAAATTGAACATTTGAAATATGAAGTTGGGACCAGGAGAAAAATGAAGCAAAGGCAATTTTTTTTGCATGCTAATCGAATGATTGAGCCACCCAATCAGATATTTGAATATCTTAGATTAGCTGGATTTTATGGTATTGTTTGCGTAGGGCAATTTGACTACGACTGGAGTTTGGTCTCAGTCCTTGTTGAGAAGTGGCGTCCTGAGACTCACACGTGTCATACTACATGTGGAGAGTGCACGATAACATTAGAGGATGTTGTTATACAATTAGGCCTTCCATGTGTAGGAATGCCTGTCATTGAGAAAATTGATTCTAATTGGCAAGATGTTTGTGAATGGCTTCTAGGGGTTAGACCTCCTGTAGATAGAATACATGGACAACGACTACTTATGAATTGGTTGGAAGAGCACTTTAATCACTCACCCGATGATGCAAACGATGTACAAGTTCAACAATTCACTCGTGTATATATTCTCAGGTTGATTGGTGGATATCTCATGCTAGATAGATCAGATACTAGGGTGTATTTAATGTACTTTCCACTACTTTATAATCTGGAAGAAGTTGAAAATTTTAGTTGGGGTTCAGCAGTTTTGGCTCACTTGTACAGAGAATTATGTAATGTTACTAGTCCAACTAAGGATGGGATTGGAGGGTGCTTATTATTATTACATTTATGGGCATGGGATCGTTGTCCTGTGCTAGCATCACAACAACCTGTGTCTCCATATTCACAATCTGATATCTACCCTTTCTTACCTTTTTTGGGTTTCAGATATGCCGAAATCACATAACAAATATTTGATATGTACTTATTATCAAAATTTTACAAATTTTAACACTACTTTTTTTTTTGTTGATAATGCTAGATGGAAAAATGTAGAACAAAATCCTCGTCCAAATGCCACGTCCTTACACCAATATAGGAATCTGCTTGATAGAATGACCAATGATGACATAATTTGGCAGCCAACTAAATCTTCTGAAATGCGCCAATTGATTTCTGAGTATTGTTTGGCAACACCTGAAATTTGGCTTCCTTCAATTCCTCTAATATGTTTTCATATTATAGAATGACATCATCCTGATCATGTATTAAGGCAATTCAGTCGTCAACAACCTATTCCTATCATGCCTGTTCATTTAGGAAATTACCATAGAATATAGCTACATGGCAGAACAACCACAAATTGGACTCAACAATACTCAAACTTCATTGAAGCATGGAATAGATGGCCACATGATGTTGTTGATGCTCCTCTGTTACTTGGTGAACTTGATCGAACATCTAAGTACATTTAATGGTATTGGAAACATACAAGATGATGGATCCAACGTGTTAGTGGTGATACTGACTATGTGATAAGGTTTTGTAGTTTTTTTTTCAATCAATATCATCATTTTCTTTTATGCAAAATTTTTTTCAACCTAATGTTTTATTTATTTTAGACTGACATAGCAGAACAGTTATATAGGCTAACGATTAATTCTTGTTCAACATGCTCTGATTGCATTGATTATCGAGAAAGAGTTGCTCGATACCAGCATAACATTTTACTCGCAGTTAGAGAATAACGATTTAATATGAACTCTCAACTAGCTCCACCAACATTTAAGTTGTCCCATCCACAGATTTCTCGAGATAGACCAAGCAAACGGCGTGGCAGTTACTTGTCTACTCAAACACCAATTGTAAATGAAAATTTAAGGGAACAAGAGCCTCAAAATTTTAGTCATTCTGATAACATACCAGTCTCATTATCAAGCCCTATCACCTCTTCCAATCGAACTCATTCTTACCCTCATCACATGCCATCATCATCAACATTATCCCATTATGACTCACCCAATCCTCCTTAATTTCAGTCGTTCATGTCCTTATTTGATGATCCTACATTATTTATGGATCAATATAACACTTCTCCTTTTAAGTAAGGTGGTCCATCAAATGAGACATTTGTCACCCCTCGACAATCAATTTTTTTAGTCGAAT